GACACCCCAAGGCGTTCTCCTACCACCTCACAAAATATCAAGGGGGGTCGTCGGAGGAAATTTTTTTTCGTAATAGAGCTCATATAAAGAGAATTTCACTCGCGGTCACTTTTTAGCCCTCGTCGAGGGCTTTGAGTGAAACTGACAGGTCAGCCGTACGGCCAAGCCATTTACCTATAAACATGCCGAAAATTAGCGAGATGTAAAGAGGGTAAGTGCCCTAAAATCCGTTTTGAAATGACCCTCTGTTTTTCCCATAAAATACAAAGATTATATAGGGAAATACGACTGGTCAGTTTTGACCCATTTCCCGATTTTTCCCGGACATGGCGAGTTTTTTGTGACACCCCAAGTCGTTCTCCTACCACCTCACAAAATTTCAAGGGGGGTCGTCGGAGGAAAAAAATTTTCGTAATAGAGCTCATATACAGAGAATTTCACTCGCGGTCCTTTTTTTAGCCCTCGTCGAGGGCTTTGAGTGAAACCGACAGTTTTCCCTAAAGGTCAAGCCATTTACCTAAGAGCATGCAAAAATGTAGCCAGAAGTAAAGAGGGTAAGTGCCCTAAAATCCGTTTTGAAATGACCCTCTGTTTTTCCCATAAAATACAAAGATTATATAGGGAAATACGACTGGTCAGTTTTGACCCATTTCCCGATTTTTCCCGGACATGGCGAGTTTTTTGTGACACCCCAAGTCGTTCTCCTACCACCTCACAAAATTTCAAGGGGGGTCGTCGGAGGAAAAAAATTTTCGTAATAGAGCTCATATACAGAGAATTTCACTCGCGGTCCTTTTTTTAGCCCTCGTCGAGGGCTTTGAGTGAAACCGACAGTTTTCCCTAAAGGTCAAGCCATTTACCTAAGAGCATGCAAAAATGTAGCCAGAAGTAAAGAGGGTAAGTGCCCTAAAATCCGTTTTGAAATGACCCTCTGTTTTTCCCATAAAATACAAAGATTATATAGGGAAATACGACTGGTCAGTTTTGACCCATTTCCCGATTTTTCCCGGACATGGCGAGTTTTTTGTGACACCCCAAGTCGTTCTCCTACCACCTCACAAAATTTCAAGGGGGGTCGTCGGAGGAAAAAATTTTTCGTAATAGAGCTCATATAAAGAGAATTTCACTCGCGGTCACTTTTTAGCCCTCGTCGAGGGCTTTGAGTAAAACCGACAGTTTTCCCTAAAGGTCAAGCCATTTACCTAAGAGCATGCAAAAATGTAGCCAGAAGTAAAGAGGGTAAGTGCCCTAAAATCCGTTTTGAAATGACCCTCTGTTTTTCCCATAAAATACAAAGATTATATAGGGAAATACGACTGGTCAGTTTTGACCCATTTCCCGATTTTTCCCGGACATGGCGAGTTTTTTGTGACACCCCAAGTCGTTCTCCTACCACCTCACAAAATATCAAGGGGGGTCGTCGGAGGAAATTTTTTTTCGTAATAGAGCTCATATAAAGAGAATTTCACTCGCGGTCACATTTTAGCCCTCGTCGAGGGCTTTGAGTGAAACCGACAGTTTTCCCTAAAGGTCAAGCCATTGTCCTAAGAGTATGCAAAAATTTAGCCAGATATACTGAGTTTAAGTACCCTAAAGCCTGCGTTGAAATGACCCTCTGTTTTTCAAATAAAATACAAAGATTATATAGGGAAATACAACTGGTCAGTTTTGACCGCTTTACGAAGTTTTCCCAGATATGCCGAGTTTTTTGTGACACCCCAAGGCGTTCTCCTACCACCTCACAAAATATCAAGGGGGGTCGTCGGAGGAATTTTTTTTTCGTAATAGAGCTCATATAAAGAGAATTTCACTCGCGGTCACATTTTAGCCCTCGTCGAGGGCTTTGAGTGAAACCGACAGTTTTCCCTAAAGGTCAAGCCATTGACCTAAGAGTATGCAAAAAAATAGCCAGATATACTGAGTTTAAGTACCCTAAAGCCTGCGTTGAAATGACCCTCTGTTTTTCCAATAAAATACAAAGATTATATAGGGAAATACAACTGGTCAGTTTTGACCCACTTCCCGATTTTTCCGAGATATGCCGAGTTTTTTTTGACACCCCAAGGCGTTCTCCTACCACCTCACAAAATATCAAGGGGGGTCGTCGGAGGAATTTTTTTTTCGTAATAGAGCTCATATAAAGAGAATTTCACTCGCGGTCACTTTTTAGCCCTCGTCGAGGGCTTTGAGTGAAACTGACAGGTCAGCCGTACGGCCAAGCCATTTACCTATAAACATGCCGAAAATTAGCGAGATGTAAAGAGGGTAAGTGCCCTAAAATCCGTTTTGAAATGACCCTCTGTTTTTCCCATAAAATACAAAGATTATATAGGGAAATACGACTGGTCAGTTTTGACCCACTTCCCGATTTTTCCGAGATATGCCGAGTTTTTTGTGACACCCCAAGGCGTTCTCCTACCACCTCACAAAATATCAAGGGGGGTCGTCGGAGGAAAAAGTTTTTCGTAATAGAGCTCATATAAAGAGAATTTCACTCGCGGTCACTTTTTAGCCCTCCTCGAGGGCTTTGAGTGAAACCGACAGTTTTCCCTAAAGGTCAAGCCATTTACCTAAGAGCATGCAAAAATGTAGCCAGAAGTAAAGAGGGTAAGTGCCCTAAAATCCGTTTTGAAATGACCCTCTGTTTTTCCCATAAAATACAAAGATTATATAGGGAAATACGACTGGTCAGTTTTGACCCATTTCCCGATTTTTCCCGGACATGGCGAGTTGTTTGTGACACCCCAAGTCGTTCTCCTACCACCTCACAAAATATCAAGGGGGGTCGTCGGAGGAAATTTTTTTTCGTAATAGAGCTCATATAAAGAGAATTTCACTCGCGGTCACATTTTAGCCCTCGTCGAGGGCTTTGAGTGAAACCGACAGTTTTCCCTAAAGGTCAAGCCATTGTCCTAAGAGTATGCAAAAATTTAGCCAGATATACTGAGTTTAAGTACCCTAAAGCCTGCGTTGAAATGACCCTCTGTTTTTCAAATAAAATACAAAGATTATATAGGGAAATACAACTGGTCAGTTTTGACCGCTTTACGAAGTTTTCCCAGATATGCCGAGTTTTTTGTGACACCCCAAGGCGTTCTCCTACCACCTCACAAAATATCAAGGGGGGTCGTCGGAGGAATTTTTTTTTCGTAATAGAGCTCATATAAAGAGAATTTCACTCGCGGTCACATTTTAGCCCTCGTCGAGGGCTTTGAGTGAAACCGACAGTTTTCCCTAAAGGTCAAGCCATTGACCTAAGAGTATGCAAAAAAATAGCCAGATATACTGAGTTTAAGTACCCTAAAGCCTGCGTTGAAATGACCCTCTGTTTTTCCAATAAAATACAAAGATTATATAGGGAAATACAACTGGTCAGTTTTGACCCACTTCCCGATTTTTCCGAGATATGCCGAGTTTTTTTTGACACCCCAAGGCGTTCTCCTACCACCTCACAAAATATCAAGGGGGGTCGTCGGAGGAAATTTTTTTTCGTAATAGAGCTCATATAAAGAGAATTTCACTCGCGGTCACTTTTTAGCCCTCGTCGAGGGCTTTGAGTGAAACTGACAGGTCAGCCGTACGGCCAAGCCATTTACCTATAAACATGCCGAAAATTAGCGAGATGTAAAGAGGGTAAGTGCCCTAAAATCCGTTTTGAAATGACCCTCTGTTTTTCCCATAAAATACAAAGATTATATAGGGAAATACGACTGGTCAGTTATGACCCACTTCCCGATTTTTCCGAGATATGCCGAGTTTTTTTGTGACACCCCTAGGCGTTCTCCTACCACCTCACAAAATTTCAAGGGGGGTCGTCGGAGGAAATTTTTTTTCGTAATATAGCCCATATAAGGCGCCGGTCAGTCGAGGTCAGTTTTGACCCCCTCTCCGTATATTTTTCGGCCAACCGTCACCGGCCCTCGTGTTCTATCGCCCGAAGGCACAATCGTGCCAAATTTGACGCGCCTGCGGCGCCGGGAAGTGCCCTATCGGGCACTTGACCACTTTGCTTTATATATATAGATCTGTAACAATTACATTAAATATAAAAATATTATGCACACTAACTCATTCAAATACACACACACCCCAGAAAAATATGCTCTATAGCCTACATACTTCAACGACATAGGCAATCTATGGACAAGTATAGTAATTCAATTCATCGATATACCTAAAGAAAATAATGGGGGGGGGGGGGGGGTTAATCCTACACCACCAACAGTTTGGTGGACTGGTGGCCTAATTAAACAACCGAAACAGTAGCTGTACAATGTGTAGTGTTTTGACTACAATGCTCTATTGTTTACATGAAACACTACAAGTGGACATTTTTAAGCCTAGAGGAAACCCTTGAACCTAACAAATACGACTGGTGTTATCGATTAGTGTTTTATTTTGGGGGTGGGGGTGGGGGTGGAGGGAGGTTACACCATGGGGAAAATGTTTTCAAGGACGCGATCCAAAGCCAGGGCGGGCCCAGTAGAAGTTGAAACCAAATAGACAAACATTTACAGTGCTATCAGAGGCGAACCTACAAACCGCCACCTCCGGCGTGCGTCTTCCCACCGTATCAACACCAGCTCAGCTCGCTACAAAGTGCTACATCCGATAGGGAGAGTTTTCTACACACAGCTAAATCGCTTGTTTTTCTTTTCGGTCGCCTGTTGTTTTACTCCGTGTTGATTTGTAAGCTTTTTATCCCCTTCGTTAATACTGTTTTAATTTGCAATTTAAATTGCTAAGTATTTTGTAAACTTCTAAAAAGTTGCCACCTGAAGAAAATGCAGCGCTGAGTTATGGTCACACAAGCTTCACTTGACAAAGCCTCAGCTCAACACACTACTGTGTTCACTTGAGTAACACAACTGTACAGTGTTTAAATACTGAGCAACTTGAGTTTTAACAAAGCGTTAGTAGATCAGTCAAGTCAACTAGTGTGCCTGAACTAAAGCAACCCTGATAAGTTAAAATAGATTAATTTAAAATACAATACATACCTGCTCTCTCTTTCATCGTTCTGTGAAACGAGGTTACTGTAGTAATTTTCCAACGTGACTTTTGCCTTGGTCACCTTGTCTATCGTGTGATTGCTGATTTGTATACTTTCTCCCACTGTGGCCATTTTGGAGCGGCGACTCTGAAGAAAATATACAAGGGTTTTGTTAGTAATATATGTATCTTGTGGAAGTAAGCTTTTAGCTACAAAAAAAAAAGAGTAAACAGTAATGATTAAAACTACAGTGGCTTACTAGTTTTCTAAACCATCGACAACTCTGAGCACACAACGGAAACATGTCACACTATAAAATCAACCAAGAAAACAGAGGTAAACAACTCAACATAACCCTAGCCAAACACCGTTCAGAGCACAGAAATGAATCACCATATACAATCGCTAGAGAACACCAGCTGTGTACATCAGTATGGCCACATCAAACTTATTCACCAAGCAGATATCCACGTCTAGAAAGAAAACGAAATGAGCACACAACCTATCACAACTATAAATAAAAACATTACCCCTCCCATGTTTGTGAAGCTATCCGATGTATCCAATAAGTTGATTCTTATCCATCAACAAACAGGGTCAGTAACTCGAGTAAAAAGCGCGTGTGCACACCTCTACATTATGTATGCAATAACTGGGAATAATAAATACGATGGCGCAGATCACCTGACTCACACACAAGCAGTTATCGGCCCTGTGGCTTGCTGTTATTGCCACAGGTTTAGTCACTCTCCATTTCATTACACGCTTCATTCATGTTACACCAAGCCATGAACTATATTCAGTGATCGAACACGCGTGTTCTGCTCGTACACATGTTAAGTATATTTACGTCTAAATATAACTTAAACAAAAAAAAAATGCCGACGTCACTTTTACACATTGTGTGCAGAAAGTTACAGGTAAAAAAAGAAGAAATACGATTTACATCTGTTAATTAATGCTGAAACAGATCTCTAGTATAGTGTAAGTCCATACATCTACACATTACTACGTGGAATGTTTACCATTTAAACAAACCGTGTATGATTAGAGCTGTTAAGACGTAGTGGAGCTAGATTTGTCACAAAAACCAACCATGCCGACGACACACTAACTTAAATGCGCTCTCTCAACTGTTTGAATGACAGCGAAGGGCGAGTTCAAGATTATTTGTGAATATTAGATTAACAGGCTTAACATTTATAAGATGCACACCTTTAGAGTGGATTAAACTACGTAAAAATGTGTAGGTATTTAGAATAGATACTCGCTGAGCTGTCAAATATAGCCTTGTCGATGCGGTTAACGCACGGGGGGGGGGGGGGGTATTGGAGGTCTAATGTGTTTTACACATGACATAAATTCTAATATCTAGAATGCGGAAACTAAAATACGATACATATTTAAATACTACTATTGAGTTTTTTTTTTAATTTAAAATATGGGCCTACAATGGGACACTAGTTATTTACCTGATAACAACCAAATTTGGTCAATGTGATGATGTGTATATGTTGAACTAACTCATTATAATAGGAACATGCTAATGCCACAGGCTAGCATAGGTATAGGTGGCAACTTAGCAAAATAATAAATGAAATACCTGAGCGTAGCGGATCAATCAATTTTCTTTTCACCTTAGTTGATTAGGATTCGTCTTAGCATGAGCATCAGCCCCGGGCAAGGGTTTGCTAGCAAACAACAACGCTAGTCCCATGTCATGCTCTGACCGACTCGGCCCTTCGATCATACCGTTGTAACAACATTTTCCCCCCCAAACAAATGCAAGGTCGTTTGTTTTTCGTCCTCCCACTTCCCGTGCAAGAAGGAATATTGTTGACACACCAGGTGATTGACAACGTACAAAGACGGTCCAGCTTCTGGGGTTTATCCGCGTGTCGCTTCTAGCATAAAGAACCGCCATTTAACACAAAAAAGCTTTATCTAAATGGGGTGACCGATACTAATATGTAAGATAAACCGAAGATATTTTAACTTTAATTACATTTTCGAGGGGGGGGGGGGGGCTTAGACACCCCCCCCCCCCGAACGAAATGAAATTTATATACATTATATTGAAAATATATACTTCAACATTGTCTGCCCCCCCCCCCCCGAGAAAAAGTCTGGAAGAAACACTGTATAATATGTAACGTAATATAATAGGAACAGTGAATAAAGTAAGATATGAATGGATGGAAAACTTTTAAAAAATTAAATATTCACTGCAAAGGAATAACGATTCATATGATGAATATTAATTACAGTCTTATAAACGTAGACATGCTAAAAAAAAAATTCAATACACAACATCAGAAAAGTAGGTTATCTCACAGCACAATCGATACAATAAACCATCGGCTGTGATTGACTAAGGGAGTTATCTGCATAAGGTCACAGTTGTCCATGAGCCTACTGCTGTGTATAGGTAGGTTTTAATTCTTATTTCATGCTAACGTGATTGTGTATTGAACAATAACAGTCATCGAGTTAAAGAAACCATATTCATTTGACACTTTATTTGATGTGAGCCTAATCGTATGTTCATGTGTGATGAAAATGACATCAAAATAAAAATAAAACAGCACTAACGCAAACGATGATGTATTATAGAGATTAGGGACTTAAAAAGTGCGTCATAAGAGTTCGACAGAAAGATATGGCACGAATAATACTTTATCAACTGTTTACAGAAGCAAAAATTGGAAACCAATGAAGTTTGTATTAAAAGTGTATGGTATAGGGAACACGGTGGGGTGGTGGTGAGAATCAGTCTTTCATCAAGTGACAGTTCTTTTATGCGCAGAACGTCGCCCTAGCTTGGCCCCGCGTCTGGGTCGGGTAATCGCCGTGACAATGTCTGTTACTGGATCAGTTTCCCCTGGCATAAAGGTCAGGTCAGGACACTGGTTCTTCGCACTACAGTACACAAGTAGGATACGAGTGCTGTGGTCGGAAAGTTTATACCGACTGTACCGCACAATGTGCTCTGATGCACTCACTTTTAAATATATATTTCAACAATTGTTCGCTCAATTCAGTGAAACGGTTACAAGTACTTATTAAGAAAAACTACAATTGAAAAGGATTTAGAAATACACAATACATAGAGGCCCAGAACTTTAAAAAATATACGACTGTTTTTAAAAATATGATTCTAATCTTAAAATAGCTATTATGTAAGTGTGTCATTCCTAGAGGTCAAAACCCATCTAAATATAGTTAACAGATTGTAGCGTATCAGGATGGTGCTATAAATAAAATGGGTTAATGATACTGTAAATGTTAATATGATATGTTTTAGTGTGTGCTACAGCCAAAAGGTCACATTTTATGCAATAGATTTCTCCTAACTTTGAAAAGAATCAAATCACCAAATAATAGTAATGTCAGTGTCAACAGCCTATTTAAGATGTCAATGACATTTATAGCCTCCTCACTGCTGGTTACAGAAAAATGGCGGGCGTTTCTTTTAATTCATTTCATCTGAACATTCATGATTTTTAAGTACACATAAAGAACAAGTTTCTTTGTATTTATAACGTAAACGATGCAGGACGAAAAACACAAGTAAAGAACCGTTCATTAATCCACAAGAAGGTGTCATAGTAAGTAATTCCCTACCTTATTAGTAGTTTCAGACCTATACACTGGCGACGGGGTAACCCTGTAACTAGAAGTTCTAGCGAATCCCATTGTAGCAACAAGGCTTTTTAAATCCCTTCAAACAATGTCATAACTGATACCAGAAACAAATCAACAGTGATGCGCGAATGCAGCACAAGCTATGTAAGCCAACATACATGTGACGAGTTTCACACAACTTATCTCATTGACTGATGATACACAGATACACGGCACACACACAAAAATACTATAACCAGATAGTATAGCACGCATCCCAACTTGACCCAGACTCAGAGAGAGAAAAAATAAGGAAGGGGGCGGAAAGGGGAAGAACAAAGATTCGGAGTTCTTTCAATCATCCTGAATACATAGCCGAGTTTTTCTTTAGACAAGTTTAGATGCAGCCCAAATAAACCTTGAAAATTAATGGAACATAAGATTGTTTAGCACACTCGAGCTAACAGTAACCTTCATCTGGCCTGCGGTAAACCAACAGACCGTTGCAGGAAGGCGGTTATTTGAAGATAGCGCTAAAACCTGTGTTGGCAATAACAAGTCGTTACACACACGCACCAGGAATATTTCGAATTCGTTAAACGTGAAACTACGTTGTTAGTGTTGGCGGATGAAACTCAATAAACATACTTAAAAACAACAGACTAAAAATTAGAAATCTAAATATAATGTGTTTTAGTATAGTGTAAATATATTAAATACCACATACTCAACTGTACAAACCCCAGAAAGTATAGGAAGGCAAGAAAGCAATAAATCCATTTTCACCACACTCCTCACAAAGGAACAACTGTTGAAGATAACCTCATAGATTACAAACTGAGCTTAACCTTTGAGCAGAGTAGCTACTGCAGTACAAAATGCTTCTTAATCTATTACATATAAAACATTGAAACCGAAAGCCACCTGCCACCAGGACCACGTGACACATGAAACCAAGTAAACAAATGATGTTATATGCCTTTTAATTTTAATGGTGTGAGTTTTTACAGTTATATTATAAGTAAGTGTATGTTAGAATTTGGGTGCTCTAATGTCTGACCATGCAATGTCATAGCTAAACAAAAAAATAACCGAAGTTTTTTTTAATTTTGCCTAGAGTTAAAAATAAGGACCAATAAATGCAATGTCAATTAGATACTAGCCAGATAGTATTACGTCACAAAAGTAGGTTTATATATTTAGTTTTGCAGATATAGCTGTTAAGCAGCAATCATGAGAGAAACTTTACAGATTAGATGTACACAGACTTCTAGAAATAAATGACAAATAAGCATTACATCTTGCATGTTAAAATATTTTAAATGTCACTAAGTTAATCAGCAATTTTCACACAGACACCACTAGACTTAAGTGTATTGGCATATAAAATAACACAACTTATTTGAGAATATAAATAAAAAAGTGGATAATTTCAAAGTGCTTCATTATGTAGGCCCCTATACAACTTGTTTTATTAGAATTTAGATCCTCAAATTTCAGCACATTAAAAAGTTTTAAATATTGAGGATGGTGGAACGGTGTGGCCTAGTGGTAGAGTGCTAAACAGAAAGTCTAGAGTTTGAGTCCAAGTTCCAGTGGCGTAGCCAGGATCGTCTCAAGGGGGGGGGGGGGGGGGTCCAATTTTTACCCGGGGACAAACTTTCGATTTGCACCCCCCCCCCCTCAAACTTTCGATTTGCACCCCCCCCCCCCTCAAACTTTCGATTTGCACCCCCCTCAAACTTTCGATTTGCACCCCCCCTCTCAAACTTTCAATTTGCACCCCCCTCATACTTTTTCTATATACCGATGGGTCTATGGGGGGGGGGGGGTTATGACCCCCTAACCCCCCCTGCCTACGCCACTGCCAGGTTCAATTCAGTAGATCCTCCCTGAGTTCACCCAGCTCTGGTCAATATCTAACTCATATTATGAAAAGTAAAGGCAGTTCATCATAGTGTTGATCAAGGTCACTGAAACAAGTGAACTCTACTTCACTTGCCCCCTGGACCATCAGGTTCAAACTGGGAACTTTAGTATATTGAAGATTCCAATGATAGACTACTAGGAGAGGTGGAAATGGAAGGAGTTTGCGAAATAATTTAAAAAGGAGATGGTGCTCAAGGCGCACATATAAAAATGAATACAGACGATAACGCAGGAATGGCACTTTACACCTCAAGGAAAAAGAAAGCAGGAAAGGCCAAGGGAGACCAAGAAGAGCCAAGGGTGGAGGAGCCAGGAAAATTGTCTGTGGGACCTTTCTGTGACAGCCCTGTATGTTTTGGGCACAAGAGGGAAAAAGAAGATAATATTGAAGATGCAAAACTGTATAAAATCAAAGTTTAAGGGCAAACTTTTATGACAGGGAAACAGATTTTTACAGGACAATTTTTTGCCAACGCTACTGTTCATAACCTCATTAACATTCAGATTTTATGAACAAATAGACTGCTAAACGTGTATATATAATTATTTCAAATATAGGCCTACTAAACTGCAGATCATTAAATTGTTACACACAATGTTACTGTTTAAAGTTATAAATAAAACTTTCTGAGCAAATTAAGTTTCTAAAAAGAAAAGTTTTAATAATAGTGTCTAAAATGAAACAAACTTTTTTCTCATAAATATATAACAGATGCAGCAGGGAGTAGATGAAAACCATAAAATGAATTTTTTTTCCAAATAACGTAACTTAGGCAACTTCACTTTGTGAATGTAATAAACCACATGAAGGCTATTCTTTCTTTTGGCTATTCTTTCTTTTAGTCTTCAACCATTAGTTGCTGTACATTTTAACACCATTTTTAAAAAAATTATGATTAGAAAAGATATCTTCTGGTGAATCTATTTTTACAAGGCGATTGTTGCTGTCAAAAAAATAATTTCTGTTGGTTTTTTTTTGCCATTCTCGAGTTAAATTTTATCGATCAACGTCATAATAGTTTTATTGTTTAGATAATAGCTAAATATACATGATTCAGTTAATTTTGTCCACTAGCTTGCACTTTGAAAAAAAGTTTGAACATTTATTGTAATGGCGTTCCTAATGCCATTTTTGCAAGTTTATCATTGATTAGACAACTAAATGTAACAATAGTATAGGGGTTTATTACACAAAATGTATTAATTGTTAAACAGTCTGGTCTCCAAATCATAGTAATACAATTCTTGCCTGCAAATATTAATTAAGAAATCTGATGTTAGCCAGAAAATTTTGAATTGGCACATATCCTTAATTGCCCTATACATGCAAAACAACCAACTTTAAATCTCTTTGTAGGTAAAAGGGATTAATATCTTCAATATCAGAGATTGAAGATATTTTATGTCATTTTATGACCATCATGGTCAGACAGGGAGGTGATCAAAGAGCACTTAGTACCAATGCTCTCCATCAACCTCTAAAAAACCATGTTATGTCATTACACCATCATAGGTGATTGTCAGGGAAAGCATAAAGACAGTTTATACTTGACATTCAAGAATTTTCTCAAAACAGCAATTTTACCTATTTTAACACAAGGTCTAGTATCAACTGCTCATTAAACAACAAGAGTAAGGCAGTATGAATACATTAAAAAATGTAATATGCCTAAATGCTAAATTGAACCATTTTGAACAGTGTTGAATTGAATGTACAAGACATGTAAGATGTATTAAACAAGAAGGGAGTGATTCCCTAAACTTTCTCTAATATTCTCATATAACACTACAGGCTACAGGGGATGAAAACTCGGGCAGGATATAGACATGATTTTTAATCAAGTTTAAAATTCTAACTTTCAAAAATAGAATAGAATCCCATAGAAAAAAGCGGGAGTGATCTCCCATAAACTTTCTCAAAACTTTTTATATAACACTACAGGGGATGGTAACTTGAGATACAGATATGATTTTAATCAATTTTTAAATACTCTAACTTTTTAAAATAGAATAAAATCTCGCAGAAAAAAAGAATTGAGCACCAAGTGAACGACAAACAATTTGTGAACAATAGTGCAGAATATTAGCATTTAATTCAAAAGCATTTTTTGATAAATCAGAAATAGCGTAAAGTACTACTTCCTGTATAGGGACATTACTCATATTTGACAAAAAGCAGAGAATTCATCTTTTGAAATTTCATCTATCTATCTGAAAACAGTACTCAACTTTTAGGATCTTAAAAACCAAAAGTAGAATAAGTTTCACTTCCACTTACTGGAAATCACTGAAAAATTGACACAGAACTGTGAGAACTACAAATTTGATATAATACTTATATAAGAAATTTCATAAACCTAGCTGTAACGGTACTCAAGTTATTGTGTTTAGAGACACACATCCACACAGACACAAACACCAGACTAATGGACACAATAGCAAAACTATGTTTTCCAACTCAGTGAGGTGTAAAATGTTGAAATTTTTGCACGATTACAAAACTTTCTCTATACTTCGTACACGAGAAAGTAAAAAACAACAACTAAATAATGGTGATATTTAATGCAATGACAGAAAATATTTGGAGTAGTTAGAATTCTTCAAAGATGTACAAGTGCTAAACAAATTCATAAAAAACATTTAATAACAAGCTTTTATGTAATAATGCACTAAAAAGTAGAAAATAAATTATACAATACTATTTAAATAACTAGATTTCTATAACTATACTAATATATAGGAAGAGACCTACACTTTTCTTTAGTAGCATTTTAAATATAAACAAACAATAAATTACATTTTTTTTTTTTATTGTTTTTAGGCCCTACTACACTGTAACAGTTAACTCCATTTTAGCGAATTTTATTCCCTGCTTCATGTTCACCTCCAGTTGAGCGTATTTTATTATTAACACAACCAAAACATACAAATATGTCAGGAAAACATTTATTTATGTTTTTTTGGAGGGAATTTTTATACCAGTTTCTGATAATAGAATCTTCTTTAAAAAAGGGGTGTTAAGCTACTGGTTGTATGTTAACTAAATACACACATTGCAGTGCTAACCCTGTCCCTAACCCCAACCCTAGGCCTACCATATTTATGCCTAACCCTAATTTCTAACCATAACATTAGTTAGTTATTATGTGTACTGGTAATCTATCGTTTTAGGTATGTAAAATCGCCCGCGGCTAGTAATGTACGAAAAAGTTACCTCATTGTCAAGGCTTTAATAGAAGTATATAGGGTAAAGGAGGGCGTTAAGAGCCGTGTGGTATTAAGCCCCAATCAACACCCCACCCCCACAAAACCCCCAATAACTCTGCTAATCTACTTCTGAGGTAACAACCACTGCTGTTCTTTGATAACAGAGAAGCAGAGGATTCATTTTATGTAATTTATGACCCACTTGGTCCAATAGGGAGAGGATGAGACAGAATTAAATCCCACTGCTCTTTCCCTAAAATTTCTCATCTCCATAAAACCATTTTGTGAACTTTTTTTCCAAATCGACATAACTTAGGAAACTTCACTTTGTAATAAACCAAATGAGTTTTTCAAGCCCATTATTTGTTCCTGTATTAGAGCATTGGTTGTTGTACATTTTAACACTATTTTCATAGCTATGGCTAGAATAGTTTTATTTTGGTGAATTTTTTTTGCACAGTGATTATTGGTGCCAAAACAAAATGGCCGACATTTGTCCCATTTTACCATGCTATAAAGTTTTTATCATTATCAGAGTAAAACTTGACTGATCATTAACATAATGGTTTTATTTGTTAGATAATAACTAAATCTACATGAATACATTAATTTTGTCCACTAGCTTGCCTGTTTAGAAAAGTTATAACAGATACTGTTATGTGGCTCTTGAAACCCTAAGTGCAAGTTTCTCATTTATTAGACCACTGAATATGACACTGGTATAGGAATAGTTAACACAAAATGTATTAATTGTTAAACAGACTTGTGTCTAAATGATAGAAATACAATTCTAACCTGCTAAAAAGTAAATATTAAGCCATCTGATGTTAGCAAGGTAATTTTTAAAATGGTACAGGTACTTATTACCCCTAAGGGGCAATACAGCCGACTCAGCCCCCACCTGTTTCTAACCAACCATAAAACTTCTAATCTCTTTGTAGGTAACAGGAATAAATGTTCTTATGTCTCAGCCAATCTGGGGTGGTATGTTATGTAATTTATGACCATCATGGTCCAGCAGGGAAGTAAACAGACACATTAATACCACTGCTCCCCCCTTACAATTTCTTACCCCCATGATACCCAGCACCCACCAGTTTCTGGCCCACCATAAAACTTCATCTCTTTGTAGGTAACATGGACTAAGTTCTTAGATCTCAGCCAACCAGAGATAGCATCTCCTTATGTAATTTATGGCCCTCAGGGTCCAGCAAGGAGAAAAAAGGGGAAAACAGTACCACTGCTCTCCCCTCACAATTTCTCACCCCCATGATACCCAGCCCCCACCTGTATCTAACCCACCATAAAACTTATCTCTTTGTAGGTAACATGGACTAAGTTCTTAGATCTCAGCCAACCAGAGATAGCATCTCCTTATGTAATTTATGGCCTTCAGGGTCCAGCAAGGAGAACAAAGGGGAAACCAGTACCACTGCTCTCCCCTCAACATTTCTCACCTCTATGTCATGTTATGTAATGTATAGCACACATGGCTTATCAGGGGAAAGCATTAAGGCAGATTAGTTAGTACCACCCCTTTTTACATACAAGAATGTTAACTCTGGACATCTACACACTAGTATACTAGCTACACACTAGGCATACTAATGTGCCTACTGTAAACTACTAGACTTTAGGCCCTATGTACACCTGCAATTGTATCAATTGTAGACTGGGCCCATTGGGGCCTAGTGATAGTTAGTATCAGTTAAAGTGTGTGTACACAGCTTTAACTATTTTGGGGTTAGAAATTAATTATTTCTATTGCAGAGTTAGTCTAAACTATCATAATGCTTATTGCCCCATTGCCCGGCTCCTTTCGCCCCAAATGCTGATTTCGGGGGTATGACAATAAATGTTCAATTAAACCCTTTTAAAGTATATTTAATACACTTTGTTATTATTTTTAAATTGTGTAAGATATGTTAGAATAATTTTGCCATATTTTCAATACTAAAAAATTCTTAGATTAGTAGAAATCTTTAAAAATGTACAGGTGCTAAAAAGTGTGGCTCTTAACGCCCTCCTTTACCCTAGTATATTGTGATATATTTGTGTCAAATATTATAGATAAATGAATAATAAACCTAAATATATCAATATAGGCAAGAAATTAACTTTAAACAGCAGTGTTTGCAAGCAAGATTTGCTATATAAAAAGCGGCCATCTGTAAGTTAGAGTGTGGCTTCCCCTGAATCTTGTGCTATAAGTTTACAATAAAAAAAAATAAACAAGATGGCTACTATAGTAATTGAGCATGGTTGCATCTGTCAGAAACATCGCTAGTCTTCACTTATTACTGAAAAGTTTTAATTCTGTTGTTTAAAAACATGTAGATCTAGATCTACATAAATGAAACAAGGGAACATTTTTGTATTTTTCAAAACACAAATCCTCCTCAAAATGTGAAATTATTATTAAAATAAAAGGAGTCACCTGTTTTTCACATTACTAGTCGCGGGCGATTTTACGTACCTAAAACGATAGATTACCGGTGTACTTAATAATAATATAAGTGTACTTTAGATCTAGATCTAGATCTAGAATCTAGATCTAGCTAGATCTAGAAATCTGGATCTAGATCTAGATGTCTAGTTCTAGATGACTAGATTTGACTAGATCTAGATCTAGATCTAGATCTAGATCTAGAATCTAGACTAGATTAGATGTAGGGTAAAGGAGGGCGTTAAGAGCCGTGTGGTATTAAGCCCCAATCAACACCCCACCCCCACAAAACCCCCAATAACTCTGCTAATCTACTTCTGAGGTAACAACCACTGCTGTTCTTTGATAACAGAGAAGCAGAGGATTCATTTTATGTAATTTATGACCCACTTGGTCCAATAGGGAGAGGATGAGACAGAATTAAATCCCACTGCTCTTTCCCTAAAATTTCTCATCTCCATAAAACCATTTTGTGAACTTTTTTTCCAAATCGACATAACTTAGGAAACTTCACTTTGTAATAAACCAAATGAGTTTTTCAAGCCCATTATTTGTTCCTGTATTAGAGCATTGGTTGTTGTACATTTTAACACTATTTTCATAGCTATGGCTAGAATAGTTTTATTTTGGTGAATTTTTTTTGCACAGTGATTATTGGTGCCAAAACAAAATGGCCGACATTTGTCCCATTTTACCATGCTATAAAGTTTTTATCATTATCAGAGTAAAACTTGACTGATCATTAACATAATGGTTTTATTTGTTAGATAATAACTAAATCTACATGAATACATTAATTTTGTCCACTAGCTTGCCTGTTTAGAAAAGTTATAACAGATACTGTTATGTGGCTCTTGAAACCCTAAGTGCAAGTTTCTCATTTATTAGACCACTGAATATGACACTGGTATAGGAATAGTTAACACAAAATGTATTAATTGTTAAACAGACTTGTGTCTAAATGATAGAAATACAATTCTAACCTGCTAAAAAGTAAATATTAAGCCATCTGATGTTAGCAAGGTAATTTTTAAAATGGTACAGGTACTTATTACCCCTAAGGGGCAATACAGCCGACTCAGCCCCCACCTGTTTCTAACCAACCATAAAACTTCTAATCTCTTTGTAGGTAACAGGAATAAATGTTCTTATGTCTCAGCCAATCTGGGGTGGTATGTTATGTAATTTATGACCATCATGGTCCAGCAGGGAAGTAAACAGACACATTAATACCACTGCTCCCCCCTTACAATTTCTTACCCCCATGATACCCAGCACCCACCAGTTTCTGGCCCACCATAAAACTTCATCTCTTTGTAGGTAACATGGACTAAGTTCTTAGATCTCAGCCAACCAGAGATAGCATCTCCTTATGTAATTTATGGCCCTCAGGGTCCAGCAAGGAGAAAAAAGGGGAAAACAGTACCACTGCTCTCCCCTCACAATTTCTCACCCCCATGATACCCAGCCCCCACCTGTATCTAACCCACCATAAAACTTATCTCTTTGTAGGTAACATGGACTAAGTTCTTAGATCTCAGCCAACCAGAGATAGCATCTCCTTATGTAATTTATGGCCTTCAGGGTCCAGCAAGGAGAACAAAGGGGAAACCAGTACCACTGCTCTCCCCTCAACATTTCTCACCTCTATGTCATGTTATGTAATGTATAGCACACATGGCTTATCAGGGGAAAGCATTAAGGCAGATTAGTTAGTACCACCCCTTTTTACATACAAGAATGTTAACTCTGGACATCTACACACTAGTATACTAGCTACACACTAGGCATACTAATGTGCCTACTGTAAACTACTAGACTTTAGGCCCTATGTACACCTGCAATTGTATCAATTGTAGACTGGGCCCATTGGGGCCTAGTGATAGTTAGTATCAGTTAAAGTGTGTGTACACAGCTTTAACTATTTTGGGGTTAGAAATTAATTATTTCTATTGCAGAGTTAGTCTAAACTATCATAATGCTTATTGCCCCATTGCCCGGCTCCTTTCGCCCCAAATGCTGATTTCGGGGGTATGACAATAAATGTTCAATTAAACCCTTTTAAAGTATATTTAATACACTTTGTTATTATTTTTAAATTGTGTAAGATATGTTAGAATAATTTTGCCATATTTTCAATACTAAAAAATTCTTAGATTAGTAGAAATCTTTAAAAATGTACAGGTGCTAAAAAGTGTGGCTCTTAACGCCCTCCTTTACCCTAGATCTAGACTAGATCTAGATGTCTAGGTCTCCTACTACATTTATTAACTACTCAGTACTAGAATCTAGATCTAGATCTAGATATAAATCTAGATCTAGAATCTAGCTCTACACTTACACTACACTATATTTTATAATTGTAGGCCTATTTGTATCGGCATTAGGCCTATTATTAGTAGGCCTAATTATTGGGAGTAGGCCTATTATATTAGGCCTACAAACTTATAAGGCTAATAACTTAATAAGGTACATAAGCCGCAAGGGGGTATTAATTATATTTTTTTTATATTAGACATTATTAGACCTAACAAAACTAAATTTTAAAATTTTACAAAAAAAAACATACCCTGGCCTTTAGGAGTTTATTCTTAAGTCTCCAAATCTCAACGGTTGGCTGTAACCAGTTTAAAAAATAATCCTAAGAATAAAATATGCAGATGTCTAAATCCCCTAGAATCTAGAAAAATGTAAACAACTTTCAGTTTCCAGTTATGAATAATTTTTATGAATATTATTATTATTTTTCAGTTTCAAGGATGACTCCACCATAGGAATGAACTAAAAAGTTAAAAAGTGTAAGCAATTTGGAACAGATTTACCCATAGTCTTAACCTGATAACACCTTGACGGACATATTAACGAGCGTAGCAAAACAAAATAATCCCAAAGAAATATTGTTTTCATTTGAAAACAGCTTTAAAATGATTAGTTTCAGTGATTCTAAAAATTGTTTTGTAATTTATTTTACTAAACAGCTTCTATGTTGTTTAAAGTTTCTAAATCATTAGGCATTAAGTTTTTAAAGATTTTTCCATAAATGGGAAAGTAGTACGAGATCAAGATCTAGTATATGAAAGCCTAGGACTGAAACAAAATATGAACTAGGCCTAGGCCTAGTCTTGATTTAGATCTGATCTAGATCTAGATCTAGACTGCTAAAATAATAGTCCTGGAATAACAATTTGTCTTTTTTTGTTTATTTATAAATGAAAGTGTCATTTTTATGTATTCAAAAAAGTAACAATTAAATAATTCTCAAATGACTGGTTTTAGAAATAAACTATTAACTAGGATATAGATCTAAGATCTAGATTTAGATCTCTAGAAAGAATCTAGCTAGTCTATCTCTAATACTTAGTAATACTAAGTAGAGTCTAGTCCTAAGAAATAAAAGTTTGATGAAAAAAAGTGTAAGTGATTAAAATTTAAAGCAAATAAAGTATTTATTACACAGATGTATATATTTTGACATTTAACTGCATAAGAATAATCAAGTTTAAAATATATATTGGGGCCTAAAGATTAGGCTAATAATAGTAATACTGATATTCACCAATTATGATTATATTAATGAAAATAATTATTGCTTTTAAAGAATATTTAAAATGTATATTTCATAATTTGCTACTTTCTAAAAGTTTAAAAAAAAAAACAGGGGACATAAGAAATTGATATTAAATCTATATTCTGTTGCAACAGTTATCTCCATTTATGTCAATAGAACTAAAAATAGAAGGCCTGCCGTAAAACTTGAGTTCTTGTGTAAGTTATTTCCCCCTTAACAATTCGATCAGTGCAAATAATGAAGATCTGTCATATGGTGAGATTTTCGACTGTAAAATTAAAATACTCTTTTAAAGTAATAGTTCTACAAGAAGTGACAGCCGAAGAAGAAACAATGAACAAATACCGCTTCCACTTTCAAAAGATCTTATATCCACGGCGTACCTACGGAAGGGCGGGTGGGGCAGTCGCCCCGGGCACCTACCCTGAAGGGGAAGTCAAAGGGAGTAAAAAATAATTAAAATAGCTCATTTAGGCTGAAGTTTTGAATAATACATAATTAAGGTTACGAAAATAAACGACCAGAAGGAATAACACATTGATTTAACTGTTGACCAAAATAGAAAAATGTTATGGGGTAGTAACTGATAAGAAGCACCACAAACCTTTCCAACCGGAGGGGGAAGGGCGTATTTTTCGCAAAAGGACTATAGATAGAAAAAGAAGGAAGGGGTCAAAATTGAAATCCACCCCTGGTGCCGGAATGGGTCGCCACGCCTCTGTCTTACCTTTACAGCTAACATTGAGGGAAACTGTGTAAGCAATGACAAATACAGTAGCGAAGGCAGGATTCGGATGTATATTCACAGTATATGTCTACACTTGCTACTTAGCTATAGAGTATGAGAAAAACTGTTTGTTAGAGTGCCGCCTTAGCAAGTTAATTAGTTAATATGATCGTAATAAAACATTCTCTCCCCACCCCCCAATGGGTATCAGGTGTTATTTATTTGAAATCATGCCCTTCTATTAAACAGCTGGGAGGGGGGATTGTAAGTTTATCAAACATAGTTGTGCTTTTGCAAATATTATTCCATCGTATGTAATACGGTACCACATTAAAGAATGTTCAATTGATCAATCGTCGCTCAGCCTTAATTACTGTTTTAGGAGCACCACGGCTGACTCTCTCATTCTCTGCCACCTTTCTCAGTCCTCTGTTGCTCTAAGGGTTTGAAACGGGCACCCCAAGCTAATCTTTGATGTCCTCAATCCAGTTACGTCTTTACCCTCCGACCTTTTCTACGCAAATGGCTCCGCGCCCTGCATATGATTGTTTGTGTGGGCTGTTGGCTCGTAACATTTTAATTGAGATAGTGGTTTTTGTGAAGATGTGTGATGAGGGGGGAGGAGGGAGGGGAAGATACTCTTTTGCAAAAAAAAAAATTATAAATTGAATTTTAGCCATTTTCAAACGTCTGTTGTTTTTTTTTTTTACTTTTTTTTATTTGGGGAAATTTTTTGTTGTTATAAAAATGGATTGTATAGGCCTACTCGATGTTGACCGAGCTTACAAAATTACAAAATTATTTAAAAATAAACCAATGTTTTTTTTTAAAACAAAACAAAAAAACAACAACTAAAAATGCAAAATTTTGATGGGAGGGGTGTAAGTTGTGGGAATCTGCCTTTTTGAGATGATATGTGAAGATGAAAGAGTTAGGCCAGAGTTTCTTGCAGAATCCCCCCCCCCCCCCACCCCCGAAAGCATAATTACCCCCACGAATGAAATATAATTTATATTAACCAGTGTCCGCCCCCCCTTTCAGACGATGGGCGCCGTAAGCCAGAAGTTCGAGTATTTCAAGGATTAAAATCTTAAAAAAACATTTTCATTGCCACACAGGGCATTTGTTGAAGATGGGGTTAGATATGTATAACGCCATCGCGGGGATGTTCTAATTTTTTAACAATTTAACAAACTATGACCATAAAGCGAGGGGGTTACAAAATGCAATTTAAAAAAAAATGCATTTAATTAGATCTACTCTATGTGTTTTCACTAAAAATCCATTATGATCTGTTATTCAGATAATAATTGAGGCAATATACTATACCTATTAAATCGAAAGTATAAAATAGAAATTTCTAACATAATGTTGTAATATTAATCGTATAATAGGTAGACCTATTGTCTATTGTCTAGATCTACTTTGAATTATTATTTTAATCATTAATATAATAATTATATTTTTCTAAGACAGGTAGGCTATCGTAGAAGCGTTTGTAGTCAGATCTAAATATAGATCATTTTGTCATGGCTATTTATAACTAATCTTATTTTTAGTCCGGTTTTAAATAATTTATTTCCAAAATAGTTTTTTTTAACTAATAAACAAATATGAATATGGATAAGAAAAGGATAAAGACTATTTTTAAATATTACCGATTAATATGTTAAATTTTTTGGGGTTGATTACGTAGGTTCTCTAATGCTATGAATCTTCCCATGATGCGTCATTAAAATAGCATGCATTGTGGGTTGTATCCTGATAGAGAAGTAGGATCTTGTTGACGACTGTCGACAAGCGTTTAACATTAATTTCTTTGTGATAATCATCAGACCCAACACAATTTGGTAAGAACGTAATTTAGTAAGATAGTATGATATAGAAATCTAGTTCGAGAATTAAACCTAGAAAATTTTTAAAATTGACAGATAATTTAAGTCTAGCCTGGTCACTGTACTGTAGTCACTTCCTTCTTATTCCAAAGCCTACTCTTTCTGGACTGTGCTGCGTCATAGAAACCAAGCCTTGAATCGCAGGAGTTTTCAACCAATATTGAAACTAATTGCGACACATTTTAAAGTATTCGTATAACTTATGATAGTATATTTATTTAAATCGTTCATTAAAGTAAATTCTACACGAACTTGCAGTAGCAGTTGAGTTCTTAGTTCTTTCAATCCGAATTTTCTCTTTGTCTTTGTCTCTTCTCATCTTTTGCTTTCTTTCTTAAGAATAGAAATAGATTTAGATCTAGATTATCTAGAATCTACTTATGATCTTATCAATATCTGGTTACTGATCTTATCAATTATCTGGTTACTGGTAGATCTAGATCATGTAGATTGTGTGAAAGACTGGTAGATTTATACTATAGGCCTAGCTACTTGGTAGTCAATATCTTAGCAGTTCTTAACTTTTCTATAAATCTAGATCTAGATAATACTGTTCCCCTTAGCCAAAAGTGCCCATGAGCTAAACCATAAGATAACTCACTATTTGATTTGAGTCTTTATCCTTTTCCTATTTTGAGTTTGGGGTTGTGAATTGAGCTGTGCTCATTTTATAGTAGTTTTAGTGGCTTGCTATTTAGTTGGCCAGTGCTTTGGGACCTACCCTTAAAAAATAGGATTAGGACATAAGTAACGTTGGAGCCAGTAAGCTGTCATTTAAGCTATTTCATAATTTGGGGAAACTTAAATTTTGTAACATTCATGAAAAGGTCAAATTACATTTTTATGAATTAGACAGCATATAGAAGTCTACTTTTTCGTTCCCTCCAGGTGATCCACAGCAAATACAGCTTACCTTGTGATATTTTTTTTATGTGCAAGAGCTTGTAACTGACGGTCAAAGATAAGCAGCATACTGGACTCACAGTCATCCAAGGGTGGTGTTTCTCCACACTTAGGAGGACGGTAAGTTAACTGTTAAACATGAATTGTCTGTCAAAATTTTCTTTTGCATAATTATTTATTTAATACATGTTAAAATTTATTCTAGGGACGAGAGACCACCCACTCTCAAATCCGGTTCAGGCGCATCGTCGCCTATTCCTAACAATCGATGGGTACCACCCAGCAGTGGTCCAAGGGATGGTGTCAAACCCAAAGACAAAAATGACCAGATATTTAGACGTGTCAGAGGGTAAGCATAAAACTTCATGCATATATTTCTGTTTGCAAAGGATTTAAAATTGAAATATTATTAAACATTATATTCCATTTTCAGAATTCTTAATAAGCTCACACCAGAAAAGTTTGATAAGCTGAGTTTAGAACTTCTAAATGTAGGGATTGAAACCCAAGTTATCCTTAAAGGAATTATACTTCTGGTAAGGGTATTATTTTTTTTATTTAGATATTAAAAATGTTAACGCAGGTTTTGTACATTTAATGATTTGTGTATTTTAAAACATTTCAGATATTTGAGAAGGCTTTGGAAGAACCTAAGTACAGCTCATTGTATGCCCAGCTGTGTCATAGATTATGTGAGGATTCCCCAAACTTTGATCCCCCATCTAGTAACGTCTCAGTAAGTTTACCAGTTAAAAAATATTTAAAGTTATATAATTTGTTAATTCCATCTATTATAAAATTTTTAGTAGTTGTTATTAAGTAAAACATGCTCTTTCAGACTTTCCGAAGGCTCTTGTTGAACAAGTGTCAAGATGAGTTTGAGAACAGATCTCATGCTACAGAAGGTAATTATTTGTTTATTTGGATTCAAAATGTCTTATACTTAGACCTATTTTGCCCTAATTTTTAACATTGTTGATTAAATTTAAAGAAATAATTAACATTTTAAAGTATTCCTTTCGAGTGAAATGACTTGTATCTTACAGCATTTGACAAGAAGGATGTGGCTCTCACGGAGGAGGAATGTGAGCAGTACCACATTGTCAAGAAAAAGATGCTTGGCAACATCAAGTTCATCGGTAAAAAAATTTTTTTAATGTTCAAGATTCTTTATGCCTTTACATTAAGTTTGATATTTATTGTTTTAGACAAACAGCAACCTGGACAATGCTTATTTTAAAATGACTTTCAGGTGAACTTGGCAAACTGGACATGTTGCATGAAGGGATTCTGCATAAGTGCATCAAGCAACTTTTGGAGAAGAAAAAGAATGCTCAGCTTAAGGATATGTCAGAAGACCTTGAGTGTCTGTGTCAGATAATGCGCACCATTGGCCCGCGCATTGATACACCAAAGGCGCGGGTTAGTTGATTATATTTTTTTTACATTTGTAGAATTAGGGATAATTTGTAAAATTACCACCAATAATATGTGGAATAATTTTATGTTAGTGTACGCTGAGATTTTTTTTTTCTTTCACAGGCATGGATGGACACTTACTTTGAGCGAATAAATCAGTTTGCTACCAATAGCGACCTGGCCTCTCGCATTCGTTTCATGCTTCAGGATGTTATAGAGCTTCGTGAGAATGAAGTAATATGTTTTTCTGACTTTGTTTTAGGTTTTTAAAATGCTTAGGCTGTAAAAAATTTTTTTAGTTCAAAGATGTTCTTATGCTTAATATATTCTCTACAGTGGAAACCAAGAAAAATAGCCTCAGAAGCAGGGCCTAAAACTATCACACAGATAAGACAAGAAGCCAATGTTAATGTAAGTTTTAAACATTTCTTAACACATGGTTTCAAACTTTGTGAATACCTTTTAAATTAAAAAGTTTTCAGTATTCAATAACACAATTTTTACAAATATATTTAGGGTCGTGGTAATCAAAACAACCAATCATTGCTCCAGTCTCGAATGAATATGACAAATATTCCTGGGAGTAGCTGGAAAGGTGGAATGGGAGATATATTTAGCATGCCAGTTGGCTCTATGGGTAAGTTATTTTCTTTTTTGGTTTATTTAAATGCAATATTTTAGAGCAGGGGTCTCCAAACTTTTCAGTCCGAGGGCCGCATTAACTATCAAATTTCACTTCGGGGACCAGTTTCTTCCAGGCAATTCTTTGATTTTTCTGGGCAAAGTTCCTTAGCAATCACCGACAAACGATTTTTTGTTGGAAAAAAACATCTCCGCGGGCCGGATGAGAGGACTTTGCGGGCCGTAGTTTGGAGACCCCTGTTTTAGAGCAACGACTTTTTTTTTTTTTTATTTTCATTCAATTTTTCCCCATTATACTTCACTTAGGCAATGCAATTGGTGTTGGTCCAGGAGTTATACAGATGGACCCGTTTTCTTCCATGCCTTCAACATTCAACAATTTGAATAGAAATAGATTCAACCAGCAGAATCCTAGTAAGTCTTTTTAACACCCAAGTTTAATCCAATCCACCATTAAACTTTCTTATTTGCTCTATTTAAAATGCATTATTGTTTTAACAGGTTACCAAAACAATTTCCAAAATAATTTCAACAATAAAGGGCGTGGTAAACCTCAACAGCAGGAGGGTGCCAATAATACTAGCCCAAACAACCAGCGCAGAAACAATCAAGGTGGTTATAATAATCAGCAGGGAGGAGGAGCTGTTTACAACAACCAGCAGCAAAACTTTCAACCAAATAATCACTTTCAGCAACAGCAGCACCAAAACAAACAAGGAACTGGTAAGCTTTCTGCATTACTTGATCTTGGCTGATGTACGTCAATTATTCATTTTTCCTTTGTGGCCCCTGGGGAGCAAAGGGATTCCTGATTTACCTCCCCCCGTAGTTTTGGGCTGTTCCCTTTATCTATGCCCGCGTGAGCCCCATTCTTCTCCATGTTCTCTTTGGCCGACCCATTTTCCTTTTTTCCCCTGGGGATTCCAGTCCATAACTCTCTTTGCAATATTATCTTCTTCCCTTCTCACAGAATGCCCAATCTATCTTTATTTACGGGCTTTGATGTCCTTACAGGCTGATTCTTCTTTGAATAAATATTTTGTTAATTTAATATTTTGTTGAATTTTTGAGTGATGTAAAAATTTTTATTTCATTAGCTGGAGTGAACAGAGATTTACCTCCAAGATTCCAACGTATGGCACAGCAACAGAATCAACAGACACAAGTTGGACCTGTAACCAATGGCATCCACAACATGTCTGGCTCAGTTGGATCTGCTCCTCTGGGAGCACCTAACCAACCTTCTCCATCTAGCTCTCCACCACTGACCATTACTCCACCTGTGGTTAATGGTATCAAGGAAGAAGTAAGCCTTCGTCCTGTGAAAAATTTCACTATGTTTAAACCCAACACTCCATCAATGCTGCCACGCTCAGCACAAGCCCAAAATCCAGCACCAAGGGAGACAGGATTTGCAGCCAAGAAAAGCACAGATATTTCTGAAATGCTTAACCCACTATTGGACAAACAGGTATTTGGAGATTTTATTGCTCAAGTTAAGAAATTATTCCACATGTGTATTTTACTATATGTGTATTACAAACTAAATGCGTATTACAAACTATATGTGTGTTACACTTTTTTCAGCAACAACAGCAGAACCAACCATCTGCAACCAAGCAAACAAAAGATGAAAAAACCAAATCACCAGTGAAAGAGAAATTGACTAAAGAGAAGATGATTGATAAATTGGTACGTTACTAAATCTGTAGTGTAGCAATGTAATAAGCCTGAAAATCTTCACAACTATAAAATATTTGCATTCATTGTGAATGTTTAAAGTTAAAAAAAAATTCTCTTTGGACTTAGCTGTCTTATAAGGCAGATGAAGTTAAGTTCATGTTTCTATGAATGGATGGTGTGGTCAGCACTATGCCGATCTGCCTTTATTTTCTCCAACATAAGTCAGTTATCCATCAAAACTGGGCAGACTTGGAGTATCCTACAGTCACAAGTCTGAATTGAGATCGGAACTCAAGACCTTCAAGCTAGAAACCAAATTCTGTGAATGTTCAATATGCGCTTCATTTCTTTTTCATTTTTTGTTCTTGCAGACTTACCTTTTGTCAGAATGTTATATAAGCCACAGCCTGTCTGATGCTGTGGCTGACATTAAAGATATGAGTGTCCCACGCAAGATGATTCCAGATCTTCTTGCAAAAATAATGCTTGATTCACTTGAGAAGACTGGTAATGAATTTCTGTATTTTTAAAATTCTTATTAGATAACAAGGTTGATTACTGAATATTGTAACACATGTAGAGTATTATAATCGTAATTCATAGGTTGTGCTAATATTTTTTATGAGAAAAAACAAATTGGCACCAGTGTTTTTGTCACACATTCAAATCTTTGTTTTTAAGAGCTGTAAAAAAAAAGCAATAACACAAAGTGTACTAACTATAAACACTAGAAACTACAACTATATCTCTCAAATTTTAACTATGCTTTTCATTCCTTCAATAGAGTCAGAGCAGGAACTATCAATGAGATTAATTGATGAGTTGAAAACTGAGCACATCATTACTTCTGATCAGTTTATGGAGGTTTGTTTTTTTTACACGCAGACATATTTAGGTGCACATTTCATATTTTACAAGTAGGCCTACTATTAAAAATGTTTTCTTCCTATAGGGTTTTCAGCAAGTGTGTAACAAGATGAGTGAATTGGAAACTGATGTGCCTCTTATCAAATCAATTATGGCAAGGTTTGGTGCCATGGCAACAACTTTAGATTTAGTCACCTTATCCGACCTGGCTGTGCCATTTGAAGGGGGTGTTCATTACCCGTTGTTTCTTCTGTGCCTCCAAAACATGCACAGAATCAAAGACAAAGAATGGCTGGTTGATACTTTCAGCAGAAGTAAACTTGATCTACAAAGAATGTTGCCCGGTAAGATGCAGCTGATGGTCTCAAAGCTAAATTACAAATTTATTAGGCAGATAACAAAAAACGTTTAACCATTTATATTAAGTTAAATATTTTTTTTACTGATTCTAAAATTTATTACAACAGAACTTGACCAAAACAAAGAGCGCTTCATGGAAATATTGGAAGATCGTGGGCTCAGTTTTATGTTTCCATTACTTCGTATACAAGCGGAGCTTGCAAGACAAATTGCAGCAGAACCATCTGCTACTGCATTATACAAATGGATCAAAGAGAAAGTAGAGGTACCTCTACAAACTGACCCTGGCTTCATTAACATTCTTGTTACCAGGTATGCACTATTTGCTTTAAAATTATTTATGGAACTTCCCCATTCTAGTCCGCATTGTTTCTTTCATAAAATATTTTATTTTAAATTTTCATTTCAGCCTCCTCAAGTACATTACTTCAGAAAGTACACTTAAACCAAACTCAGATGCAACTGTGACACCAGAAAAAGCACTGATGGAGAAAGAAAAAGATTTATTGGACCAGCTTAAAGTAAGAAAATGAATGCTTATTATTAGTTGTAGTTTTGTCTGTAATCTTGCTGAGGAGGAACATGTAATGGCTAAAATATAAATTATGTTTGAAAGTAAATCTCTTTCTAGTTGGAATTGGAGGTGGTGGATGACAGAGGAATTTCAGAAAGAAATATTGAATATATATTGAAATCAGTTTCTTAATTAAAAAAGCAGTGTCTGTCATTACATGGGCATAAGTGATAGACTGCAAAATTAATACATTAGTCTTAGCAGATGTTGGAGGACTGAAAAATTTGAGCACATGATTTGATTTTTAAGATACACAGCATTTCAGTTTTGCTTGTATGTGAAAAATATGCATAGAAATAGATTGCCCATTCTCACATTTTATGATAATTTACCTAAGGTCTTAATTATGTAAACAATTTTTTAAATACACATTATTCTTTATAAAAATTAAAATTATAGAAAACTTAAGTTTTTTTAAACGAAATTTATATTTGGTGGCGACACAAATAGTATATGGTGTGTATGTTTTTAAGGAGTAAATCTGTTAATGCCTTGGTATAATATCTTCCAGGGCGTACTTCAACTATTTTTACAAGACCATGCAAACCTGCAAATGGCTGCCCTGTATGCAGTCCAGGTTTTCTGCCACTCACATGGATTTCCTAAAGGTTAATCTCTTCCTCTTTTCCCTCTCTTTCTGGACACGTTTATCTTGTTTTAGATTTCAGCAACTTTTTTTTTTTATTAAGTACTAGGCTGGTTAGTATGTAGTATCTAGGCTGTTTCTATGACACCATAACAAATTGATGTCCATTTTCTATATTGCTTCATGAGGTATTTCTCTTTTAGGAATGTTTCTACGCTTCTTTGTCAATTTGTATGACATGGAGGTTATTGATGAAGAAGTTTACCTGCGATGGAAGGAAGAAGTAAATGACCAGTACCCTGGTAAAGGAAAGGCTCTTTTCCAGGTTTGTTTGAATTGAATTACCTTGCGCTAACTCTAATATTGCATCTATATTTGAATATACTGACGTAATTTTAAAATCATTGCAGGTGAACCAGTGGTTAAACTGGCTACAGACAGATAACGATGATGAAGAATCTGAAGAGGAAGATGATTAGTGACTTGATTGTCCCTGCAATTATTAAGTCAACCAATTCAGTACAACCCACTCACTGGGTTGTTACTAAAGACAATTTCTAAAATTCCTGGCTGAGTTAAGCATGGAATTTTGATCAGAGTTCAGTGTAGTTAGGTGTAGGCTATGTGGAATAGAATTAGCTGACTTTAAAAAAAAACTTTTATCTACAGAGCACATACTCAAGTTTGTAGGTGTATTTTTTAAATTGTAATTTTAAAATGTATCTGTTCTTAGCTATACAGAACTTAAAATGACCAGGAGAATATGTTTGGAGGACGAAGTGGACAAAGTGCTTATTTTTTTGAAGGTTACTTTTGAGAAAACATTTAAAATTGATGCCGTGATACAGCTATGTGATTATTTGATAACAGACATTATTGTCAGTGATGTCTCAGATAAGGATATTCACTGTGTCATATTTGAATGTATCAGAAAAATTCATTTCTAACTGTTCATAGAGATCTGAACATTGCAAAAAACAAAACAAAAAAAAACAGACAATCAAGTGTGGAATTCAAGACTGTTATTCCCAAGGAACCATACTAATCTCTTTTAATTCATTTTTTGCCATTAGTCTAAGACACAATGTTTTGTATCATCATTTTTTCCCTGAGATTTTTAACATTTATCTATTCTGTAAGTTTATGCTTTGTTGTAAGAGGAGGTGCACTCATAACTTGTTGGAAAAGTGTGCCCAACTGGTATTTGTGTGGAGCATGATTATGGGATTAGTTTGTAGTATCAATGTAAGACCCTTGTATTGGTTACATCTATTCAGGAAACAAACTTGTTTTTTTTTTTAAAGCATTGTCACTAAAATCTTTTTCTTCAATTAGCAACACATTCAACCTTAGACATCTTTCAAACCAAAAAAAAAAATTCATGGTTCTTGTAACTGTTGCTTGTTCTAAAGAACTGGAACAAACCGTTATATTTAACAAACTCGAATTTAATAGGGTTTTAAGAGGTTATTAAAGTAAATATTTGAGTATGATTTTATTTAAATCCCACTGATGTGATGAGAAGCATAGAATTTTCCACTAATTTTGAAGAGAAACAAATGTAATTGATTAATGTATCTTCATTGCTGAATTGATTATTTGTGTCTGATTGCTGAGGTATTTATCCCGACCACTTGCCCCCACCAGCACATTGCATGTTGATCATTTTCTTCTCATTTATGCATGTTTATACTGACCTGTATTCCAGAACTTGTTCTACATTTGTGGTCATATCTCTAACCATAATTCATCCTTAACCCCCCACTATTGTCACTCAAGATAACATCAAGAAATGTACTAGCAATATAAAAGGGACACAACTTCTAATTGGCTTTCCATCAAATAAATTTGTGTTGTCCTTCTGGCTCAAGTCCTTGCATACTTAACTGGGCATTTTGAAAAGTTCCTTTTCTTTTGGAACTAATTAATTTGTATGCATGGCTTTTTTTTTTAGTTTTATCGGTATATTTATTTACAGAAAATAGTCACATTTTTAAAGTTTAGTTATTGTACAAATCTTGTAACAAAAACGCTTCCACTTTTTCATGTCGATTTGCGTTCTAGCAGATGCATTTATCTATTTGTATTAGTATGTGTGTCAGCTGGATCTTCATTAAGTTTGGCGTAAGCCAAACGTCATAAACTTTCTGTCGGGGAGGTAGCCATTTTTATATTCCTACCACCTTCACTTTTTTAGTAGCTAATTGTTTATAGTTCCATAGTCACATTTTTTAACTCATAAAACTTTTATATTTTGTATAACTACTTCACTATTGTCTAATTATTTACAGTCATTTTGGCTTTTGTGTGAATGTTTTTCTTTGACTTTTTTTTTTGTATTTCTAGCTTTCATTAACAGTTGTTGGTATGATATAGTGAGTGTTTTAATGTATGTGAACTAGATTTTTAATTGGTTGTATTTAGAAACTAAATTGCTTCTGAATTTTGGTGGTCTTCAAACTGTAGACCAGACTTTTTTTCCACAATTTGGTTAAGGGATCTTTGAATAAAGTTTAATGTCATAACTTTCACATTGTAATTTTTGTACTCTTTCAGTCATTCTCTTAGGCCTGTTGTAATCTAAGTTTTCTTCAATTTCATTCTATGAAAAAACTAATTGTATTTTTAACTTGTATGAATTTGTATTAAAATGTGCATAGTAAAAAATAGTTTTATCTTCCTTGTTTCAAATATAATACGGATGGTATCACTGTTTTGACACTTTTTTTTTTAAGAGGTTCCTTCATTTTGATTTAGTTATTTTAAACCACTCCTAAAATTAATTTTTCTAACGAACTTAAAAATGGCTGAACTTCAATTTGTCCACTAAGGATAAAACATACACAAAATTATTTTATGACTAGACGTGAGGTGACATACAATTTTTCATTGCATAAGTGTTGTTTTTTGCAGTTCAGTTGGAATTTTTCATGCAAGACTAAGTTTTAGGAAAGATTGATATAATAGTTGTGACTGGTTTGCTTATATAAAAGATACATTCATGGTTACATTTCAATTTTTATTTTATGAAACCAATTTTATGAGATGGTTAAACTGAAGTATTTCTATATTAATTTTTTTTAAAATTTACAAAGTTTCAAATATTGAATTGAAGGGATGTGCACATTAAAAAATCGCCAAAATTCTGATTTTTTGTCATATTGAGTTTTCTGCACATTTAGATACTTTGTCCAAGTTTGTATAAGAAAATAATTTTGAGAAATTTTATTTATTGTGTTAAAGATACTTTTTTATAACCCCATTAATTAAAAAAACTACCAAAACTTACAATTGACGTAACAAATGAAACAGAAATGGTATTATCGTGACTTACTTTTCGTTACTTTTTGCTGCTTTTCTCAGTTCGAAGTTATTTATCACTTAAAAGCCACTCAGTTTTATTTTTTAAACAATGCCCACCATATTTTCAGTAATTGTTCTTTATGTAAAAATAAAACATGTCACTAGGGAATTGTGATGGCTTTCATAGAAAAAAAGTTTGTTAAATAATAATTTTGAAACTTTTGAATCCTAAAAAGGGTGCGATTGTAGAATTCTTACCAGTAGTTGTTTCAAAAATTTGTCTTGACAGAAGTTTTAATATATACTTAAATATAAGCCGTATAAATTTGATTGCTGTTAGAAAGTACCCAAAAATTTAAAATGGCGGATGTTTTTCTGGATTTTCAAGACAACCGAAAAAGTTTTCGAACCCCCCCCCCCCTTTTTTTTTTTGCTAATAATAATATTTATTTTCATGTTCCAAACATGGTAAAAATATTAAAAACTCTTTAGATAATAAATTGTAAAAAGTAGAAATAAACTGAGCACATCCCCTTAATTGCTTACACCTTCAAATAAGTATCACAGAAACGTACAGAAGTTTTTGATAATATACTGTAAAAACGGTAAAACATTATTTCAGCTCAAAGTATACTTTCAAAGATGGCTTGTGACACATCAATCAACTGTGACAAGGTGATGCAGATCCCGCTTGAAAGACCATGACAAGAATTGGATTATATGTATTGTGCATTTGTTTGTTTTTTTATGCATTACACACCTTTCATCCGATTGCCATGCAACTTTGGGAACTTGTTGAGAATACTTTTGGAAAGCCCTCATTTAAAAAAAAATTCAATTTTAGACGGAGCGGCGCCTCTGTAGCAGGGTGCGGTCTGGCGCTCACAGTTACACGGCGGCGATCCTAGCATCTGGCATACAGCGCCTACGTTTATTGTAAAGAAGATAATGCCATCGAGTTCGAATCCGGGTTCCATCAGTGGAACGACCCTGATTCCACCCAGCTCTGATGGGTACCTAATTCATGTTAGGGAAACAAAGGCGGCTGGGCATAATCAGTGTTTCTTCCAGACTTTTTTCTCCGGGGGAAGGGGGGGCGGCACTAACAATTTTCGGGGGGCTGTAGACTTTCTTCGGGGGGCGGACACTGTTAAAAGTATATATTTTCTATATAAATTATATAGGGTAAAGGAGGGCGTTAAGAGCCGTGTGGTATTAAGCCCCAATCAACACCCCACCCCCACAAAACCCCCAATAACACTGCTAATCTTTTTCTGAGGTAACAACCACTGCTGTTCTTTGATAACAGAGAAGCAGGGGATTCATTTTATGTAATTTATAACCCACTTGGTCCAATAGGGAGAGGATGAGACAGGATTTAATCCCACTGCTCTTTCCCTAAAATTTCTCATCTCCATAAAACCATTTTGTGAACTTTTTTTCCAAATAGACATAACTTGAGAAACTTCACTTTGTAATAAACCAAATGAGTTTTTCAAGCCCATTCTTTGTTCCTGTATTAGAGCATTGGTTGTTGTACATTTTAACACTATTTTTATAGCTATGGCTAGAATAGTTTTATTTTGGTGAATTTTTTTTGCACAGTGATTATTGGTGCCAAAACAAAATGGCCGACATTTGTCCCATTTTACCATGCTATAAAGTTTTTATCATTATCAGAGTAAAACTTGAGTAATCATTACCATAATGGTTTTATTTGTTAGATAATAACTAAATCTACATGAATACATTAATTTTGTCCACTAGCTTGCCTGATGAGAAAAGTTATAACAGATACTGTTATGTGGCTCTTGAAACCCTATGTGCAAGTTTCTCATTTATTAGACCACTGAATATGACACTGGTATAGGAATAGTTAACACAAAATGTATTAATTGTTAAACAGACTTGTGTCTAAATGATAGAAATACAATTCTAACCTGCTAAAAAGTAAAAATTCAGCCATCTGATGTTAGCCAGGTAATTTTTAAAATGGTACAGGTACTTATTACCCCTAAGGGGCAATACTGCAGACTCAGCCCCCACCTGTTTCTAACCAACCGTAAAACTTCTAATCTCTTTGTAGGTAACAGGAATAAATGTTCTTAGGTCTCAGCCAATCTGGGGTGGTATGTTATGTAATTTATGACCCTCATGGTCCAGCAGGGAAGTAAACAGACACATTAATACCACTGCTCCCCCCTTACAATGTCTTACCCCCATGATACCAAGCCCCCACCAGTTTCTGGCCCACTATAAAACTTCATCTCTTTGTAGGTAACATGGATTACAGTTACAGATCTCAGACAAACTGGGGTGGCATGTTATGTAATATATGACCTTCATGGTCTAGCAGGGTGGAGACCAAAGAGGAATCAGTACCACTGCTCTCCCCTCACAATTTCTCACCTCCATGATAGCCAGACCCCACCTGTATCTAACCCACCATAAAACTTCATCTCTTTGTAGGTAGCATGGACTAAGTTCTTAGATCTCAGCCAACCAGAGATAGCATCTCCTTATGTAATTTATGGCCCTCAGGGTCCAACAAGGAGAAAAAAGGGGAAACCAGTACCACTGCTCTCCCCTCACAATTTCTCACCCCCATGATACCCAGCCCCCACCTGTATCTAACCCACCATAAAACTTCATCTCTTTGTAGGTAGCATGGACTTAGTTCTTAGATCTCAGCCAACCAGATAGCATCCCCTTATGTAATTTATGGCCCTCAGGGTCCAGCAAGGAGAACAAAGGGGAAACCAGTACCACTGCTCTCCCCTCAACATTTCTCACCTCCATGTCATGTTATGTAATGTATAGCACACATGGCTTATCAGGGGAAAGCATTAAGGCAGATTAGTTAGTACCACCCCTTTTTACATACAAGAATGTTAACTCTGGACAGCTACACACTAGTATACTAGCTACACACTAGGCTTACTAATGTGCCTACTGTAAACTACTAGACTTTAGGCCCTATGTACACCTGCAATTGTATCAATTGTAGACTGGGCCCATTGGGGCCTAGTGATAGCTAGTATCAGTTAAAGTGTGTGTACACAGCATTAACTATTTTGGGATTAGAAATTAATTATTTTTATTGCTGAGTTAGTCTAAACTAGGAGATAATACTTATTGCCCCATTGCCCGGCTCCTTTCGCCCCAAATGCTGATTTTGGGGGTATGACAATAAATGTTCAATTAAACCCATTTAAAGTATATTTAATAGACTTTGTTATTATTTTTATATTGTGTAAGATATGTTAGAATAATTTTGCCATATGTTCAATACTAAAAAATTCTTAGATTAGTAGAAATCTTTAAAAATGTACAGGTGCTAAAAAGTGTGGCTCTTAACGCCCTCCTTTACCCTAAATTTCGTTCGGGGGGGGGGGGGGGGGGCAAAGCCCTCCCGAAGAAATGCCTGGAAGAAAATCTGGGCATAACTCCGACCACATTATCCGTTGTAACAGATAAACTCTACTTCATCTGCCCCGTGTGTCTTAGGTACAAACGGGAAAAGATGTAATGAACGAGCGCCATATACTATGACTACTACAAATGTTGACTAAATCGAACAAGATGCGTCCGCCCCTCCGAATTTAAACTTTTTTTTAAATCGCAGAAATCCTGTAATTATAAAGGTTTTTATATATTTTATTTTTCACATTTTAGTCATTCATTAGAAATGAAGTTGCATCTACATAGGCTATGACTAAAATACTTCCTTTAAAACCCGACCAGTAGCTTATGATCTCTAAAATCTACCTTTACTTGGTCTATGGTCGACGATCAGGTAAGAAATCAGTCAACCGTGACTAACAGTTCACACTCGACGGTTAGCTGATCAAGTGATTTCATCTTCTATTTTGAATATCGTAATTTTTAAATTAAATTCTCCAATTAGATTAAAATTCAGATATTCTTGCATTAGCATCGATGAAGGTATTTGGAAAGTCTGAACGAAATCGATGCACTAGAGGTGGGTAAAAGTGAATTAAAGGTTTGCCACACACAAACTATGCAGAGGCGTAGCGAGGGGGGGGGGGGGCGGGGAGTGCGGACCGTACCGGGTGACCCCATTTAGGGGGGGGTGACACCAAGGCAAAAAATAGTAAAATATATAGAGAAAAACTTGAGGGGGGGGGGTTGCACATCGAAAGTTCGAGGGGGGGGGTGCAAATCGAAAGTTTGAGGGGTAGGGGGTGCAAATCGAAAATTAAATTAAGTTTGTCCCCAGGAAGGGTCGCTACGCCCCTGGGGGGGGTGCACCATTAACTGCTGCACCGGGTGACACCCGACCTCGCTACGCCACTGAAACTATTTGAACTATGTAAAAGCTTGTAAAAAGAATTAAGACGCATTTCAATAACTTACAATGCCTAATTCAATCAATAAGAAAACAATTAGCGTCATATCGTAAACAACCTATAAATCTGCAAAGGCCAAATCACTAACTATTAATTCCAAATAAAATAACTTCAAGGATCGTTTTTGTTTTGTTACACAGGAGTCTTAAATATCTTTGTCAATTCATTCTTATTTCTTCATATTAAGCTATGATCGCATAGCAGAGCCAGTATCACTTAGTCTACCTTATACTACCTTTGTTTCGCAACGGATAACTTTTTTCCTATGCTACTTCGTACTTGGGAGCCAGCTTTCA